TTTCTTTGAAGAATCACTATTTTACTTAAGAAATTTTCCAGATTTCTGTCTATAGTAATTTATATATAAAACCGCGTCACGTTACACTATGATCATTCTCCTGTTCACTGGAGAATCATCAATTAAGTTAAAATTTACTTAAAGCTTCCACAAAAAATTCAACATTGAACCTTTGAGATAAGCCTAATGAATGCTCTTCATTCAAAAAAAATTTGAAAAATAAATGTAGTTTTCATCTGAATCTTTTAAAAATTTGCATATTTTTGATATAAAAATAAGAACATGACTAGACAGTGCCCCATGCACTTTGTGCTCTTTACTATAAAATCGTCAATATCTTAAAATTTTGACTAGGTAACCCTTAACATGTAACATAAGCAAAAATATTCCTCTTGCAATTTTACCTTACCCTAACCCTAAACCTAACCTTAAATCTAACCTTAACCTAACCTAATTACTATTGCAAGCTCAATTTTGCTATAGGAGCACAAAGTGCTCTGAGGCACTGTTTAGATTTATCCTAAAAATAATATTAATAATAATATTCAAGTTATTATTATTAATTTCACTAATAAATCTGATCTTAGTAAATTGATCAATGTTGCTAACATAGTTTTAATTACTTAGTTGATGTCTCACCCTAATGGGCTAATGGTCATGTTGCGTCTTTAATAAAGGGCACTATAACTAAAAATACCGGTATCTGAACCTTTTTTATATTTGACAAGATTTATTGGTTGACAAGAACAGCCTTTTCCATAAACTTTTGCGCAAACTAAACACACGGTATATATTTTTTTATGTATCGATCATGCTGAGATCAATAACTTAACCGGATCAGCCGAAAAATCATTCGGCTAATTTTTATCAGGTGTTTCAGGAATTATGATTTTTTAGCCTGTTCGATTAAGTTGTGATTTCGGCATATGACGATAAAAGATTTCAGTATATACGTAATTTTATGTATCTTGTTAAGGTACTAAATAAAAATTTAATAATGTTGACATTATTGTTGCGATCCGTAAAATGTTAATAACAATAAATTTTCTTAAGACTATCTAAAGGCTCAAATTAAATCAATTACATGTAAATATTGTTAGTCATTATGATGCAAAAATAGTTTTTATTATACGGGTCATGTTGAAATTACAAACTTAATCGAAACGGTTGAAAAATCTTTCGGCTAATTTTTATCAGGTGTTCCAGGAATTATGAAAATAGCTGTAACTTTAAAAATTTTATGAATTTCTGTTTAACCCGGGTCAAAGCTCTACTTTTGTGGTTATTTATACGACATACGACATTTATATGCAAATGTGCCGTATCGCCGTAATTTTTTTGCCGGGGTAGTTACCCTCAAGATTTTAAATGTCTGCATCATTACTAAATACATAAAATCAAAATTTTCATGGGCTGAATCCTAGAAGGCAAAAGTTAAAAAAAATGTTAATGAATCGATTTACAGGATTTCATTTCATTACTCATATTAATAACCCGATCGTTATTATAAATTTTTTTAATATGTTGATCAAATCAAAATGAAATTTGAGTCAAACCAGTTTATTATGGGTCAGATTGAAATTGTATAATGAGTAATAATCAAAATCAAAATTATATGTTAAACAATTACATGTATTTTACTAGTTTTTTTTAAGACGTTAAAAATTTGACATTAAATCAGAAAGGCTATATTGATCAAATACGTGGAGATGAATCATATTCTAACGGACATATATCAACAACACTAGCTTCGCTCAATCATGTCACCAAAAAAACAGCGGACCTGAATCAATTTAGTGAATAATTAGGTTAACTTCATAATGTTATATTAAAAGATTATAAACGATTGTGATTATTATTATATGTATTTGAATTTTTGCATTGGGCATTGTTTAATAATTGATACTGTATGCCATAGAATTCAACACAAGATATATGCAAGCTCTTGAATTACATCGGGATTCTCATAAGTTATATTTTACTCGATACTTATTGTCTTGTAAAATCTATATTCGACTATATTTAAACGAGGTTATTCTTTAATAAACCAATTTTGTTAATTATTGATTTAGTTTTAAATCAATACATTAAGGATATAAAAATCGACAGATGTTTTAGCATTTACAGATAACTAAATCGATAGTGGTTGTAGTCAGCACTTCGACTTCTTTTTGATCAATCAATGAAATCGAAATTTGATTCAGTAGTTAAGAACTCGATCACTCGTTAAATTTGATTTTTTGGTCTGAAATGGCTCAGCAGCTTCATGCTATTGTCTCTTTCGTCCCTTTATCAACTTGTTTCATGAATCTTCCATTTAAATGGTCCCAAGTTCTTTCTGAACAAAACCAGGTAATCAATTCATATAAATATCTTAATTTCTATTATTTATTTCGGGAGGACACGTCTTTAGATTTACATTTTGACAGTTACCACAAACTGTTATTCTAGAATTATCTTGGCATGATACTAAAATTGCACAAGGCAAAGCATATGTTGGATGGTCTGGGTTTTCTTCAAAGGCTGATCATTCCGATGCTATCGAAATAGACCCACAATTTGGCGAGGCTATTGGTTTACACCATGATCAAAAGGTGAATCCTAATTTATACTTTATCATTTTTATGATCTAATATTTTTAAATATAATTGTATAGATTTACTTTAAACGTTTCGAAGATATAGCGCCAGAGGCCAATTCTGTAAAAGTTGAACCGATTAGTTCTGATGATTGGGAAATTATAGTAACGTTTGATTTTTGTTAGGTATCCGTCGTTAATAGC